CTGATGCATTTGGGCCAGCCAGGCTGTCCAAATAAGTCAGGTATGTTTGGTTGAATCCTTTACCCCCCCCCCCCGTCAGCTTATGCTAGACTCTGCTCGGAGCAGATCTGTCTGACGCTGCGTTCTTCCTGTCACAGATGAGAATATTCCTGGCGGTGTGATCCGTGGCTCTGAATGGCACAGTCACTTGGGAAGTATGAAGGTACTTTGTACGGCACAAGGTTTTCCATCCCTGCTAAGCAATCATTAAAAAGCATATTTGTTCTGATGTCCGGGCAAAACTTGCCCACCTCCAGCTGCACTTTGCAAAGCTTTTTAAATACCATCTCTTCTGTTGTAACTGTGGTGTTTTGGTGGTGGTTTTTATTTTTTTTTTTTTTTTGCAGGATTTCAGCGTTACGTTTGGTCATTGTCCTGAGATCACTGTTTATACCAGCTGCTGTTACTTCCCGAGCGCAGGACAGCTTCCCAGCCTGTGGGCAGACCACAGGAAATCTCTCCTTAGCATGCTCGTGGAGGTGAGCCGCAGCCTGTGGGAGGAAATTCTGTCAAGGAGTGAAGGTAGTGGGCTGGGTGGGGAGGGGGAGAGGAAGACAGCAGTATGGAGAGTCTTCGTGTTTTTATTGGTGCTATGTAACTACAGGCGGTCAAAATTTAAGACTGTGTTGAGGAATGGATTGAACAGAGGCAGCAAGTGACCAGGAAATGTGTTGACATGAGAGTTAAACATCTGTGCTGTGCTGCCTCATGGGGGGGCTGAGCAGTCCTTGCAGTATTGTGTACTTTTATTTATTATGGGGCTCAGGGATGGAGAATGGGCTGCATTTTTGAGGGGGGGATTAGGTCCTATTTTAGTTAGAAATGTGCCATACTTTTGGATCTGAACATGAAGTGTTTGAAATGCTTTATTTCAGGTTCATAAAGGAGTCCATGGGTTTGTCCAAGACAAGAGTGGCAAGCCAATTTCTAAAGCTACCATTGTTCTTAATGAAGGTTTGAGGGTGTACACTAAAGAAGGTGGCTATTTCCACGTGCTGTTGGCACCAGGTTTGCATAACATCAATGCGATAGCTGACGGGTACCAGCAGAAACATGTCAAGGTAAGTGAATATCTGCATTGGAGATCTTTCCCCCACTCCTGTCACATAAAGGCATCCCCTGTTTGGGCTCTGCCTCGTTGGCTGTTTTTAGCTGCTGACTATGTGCTCAGGGTAGCTTTTTTCTGCGTTGGTACAATGGATGGAGAAGAATTTCCCAGCACAGCAGGGTTGGTTTGGGCAGTAGCTTTTCTTTCCATTGCACTTGTCTTTGGCATCCACCCGGTTCTTGCCTGGTCAGCAAGTACATCTTTTGTCTGGACACCTGGCAGAGGTGCAAGCCTTGAGGCAGTCTGAATTCTCCTGTCTTTCTGCAGGTCTTTGTACGTCATGATGCACCCAGCTCTGTGTTCATTGTATTTGACACGGAAAACAGGATATTTGGTCTGCCAAGGGAGCTGGTTGTAACTGTTGCAGGTAAAGTGACGCTTTTGATCAAAGCTTTGACTTCACTGAACTGGAAAAGTAGCCTGCAGACTTAAGCCATCTCCTGCTTTCCCTTCTGAACACGTGCTTGTCCTTGCAAACTGGTCCAACAACCCTTGGATCTGGTGATGTTGGGCTGGCAGGTGGGAGGGAGGGAGTAGAGAATGTTGCAGCATTCTGAAGGGTTCAGAGGGGACTTTGAGACGCCTGAAATGGGGACGTCCTGTTTGTGCATAGAGCTGCTTCTTCCCCAGGGTTTCTTTGAGTACTGTGGCACCAGGTAAGCGCTAACAGATTTTTTTTGTCAAGGTGGCAGCTGTTGGGGGAGGCTGGAGTTTATACCCAGTGGTCTGCACGGGAGCTCAGTGATGCTATCCTCGATTACGCACACAGAAAGTAAAGCTAGAGCAACGCTTCTCTGGGAGCACCCCTCTTGCATGGCACATCTTCTGTGGCCTAGGAGGAAGGAGCAGGGTCACAGTGAAGAGAGGAAAGTGGTTGTGACTGTAGGAGGGAAGAGAGATGGTTGCAAGCTTAGGAGCCTCTGGTGTGGCGGAATGTGGCATTAACTTTAATGTCTTCTGTCTGGCAGGTGCAAGTATGTCTGCTCTGGTCCTCACCGCCTGTATCATCTGGTGTGTCTGCTCAATTAAGTCCAACAGACACAAGGACGGCTTCCACCGTCTCCGGCAGCATCACGATGATTATGAGGACGAAATCCGCATGATGTCCACCGGCTCAAAGAAGTCCCTCCTGAGCCATGAATTCCAGGATGAAACAGACACTGAAGAAGAAACATTGTACTCCAGCAAACACTGACACCTCCCCAGCAGGAAAGGAGGTTCCCATGGACCAGACCTGGTGGTGGGGGGCGATGCCTGTGGTTCCGTTTTGAAACGTTAGCTTGCAGGTTGTGTCCTCCAGAGGTGTGGGTGGCAGCTCCCAACTTCCCTCTGCTATTTGCTCTGTTCCTATGTACGTGCAAATCAGTGGGTGTTGGAGGCAGTGTTTGGGCTAAGGACATGGCTTGTTTCATTTTTGGATCAAGATCTGGAGGTTCACATGATGTTGTTTGAAAGGCAACTTAACAGGGTGGCCAGCAGAGTTCCTAGCACTTCCCCAGCATCTCAGCACAGTGAGCAGATGGTGGGGAAGTGCCCCAAGACCTGCACAGGGTCGTAGTTAAAACACTCCAAAGCAGTTTCTCTACCTGTTTTGATTTCGTGTTTTCCACTCTGTACTTGCGGGACACTAGATCCTTCACTTGACTCCACATTCTGCAGAGCAGCCCTCGGAAAAAAGACTATTTGGTTCTCAGATGCTCTCTTGGAGCTTTTCCCCACCATGAGATGCTGTGGCCTGCTATGATCTGCAGTGGTTGTGGAGCACGTCTAATGTGTTGCTAGTTCCAGGCAGTGACTTGGCATCCTGAAAGCTGGGGGAGATGACATCCGTTCTTGATTTGAGCTGGAGAGAGGAGCAAATGTCAGAGCTTCAGTGAACTCTGACAAAGTTAAGTTGCTTGCAGCTCTGCAGTATTGCTGTCCTGACTTCTGGGGAAGAAAGAAACTTTATCCCCATCACCTCCAGTTGCTTCTTGTTTGTGTAGTAGACTTGGCCTTTACAGTCTCATGTTAGCGTTACAACAGCACAGTGGCTGGAAGAGCAACAGAAGATTGTTTTCAGCAAACAGATAAACTCATTGTGGTGGATACTGTAGAAAAGCAATCAATTACTGAGTCCACCTGATCGGTTTTGCTCAAGTCCACCACTATTCAGGAGGAAACCGTGAAATCTGACCACTGCTTTGTATTTGAGCATTATGGGAGCAGCAGGGAGAGGTCATGGGAGTATCCATGGCCCAACTTCAGTCTTAAATTTTGAAGAAAAGCTGCACCATTCACCATTGTCCACCTAATACCATTTAGTGATCAGAGCACTTTGGAAACACCCTCTCATCAAGCTCTGGCGGTGGTAGGCATCAAATTAGCCTGCTGACTTGGCTCTGTTCTGCTACTGCAGCATCCCCGAAGTATGTAGCAAGAGCTCCACCTGCTTGTGTGTCTGCAGTTGTGTCTGCTGCTGCGGGGGCTTGGGTGCAAGGTGTGAGGAAGGGCTGAACGGCTGTTCTGAAGGAGAAGAAGGGAAAAGCAGCCAAATTCTGGTTTGTAGGACTTGTCAGGAAGTTGGAAGGAGGAGCCGCATTGTGCATCCCCAAGACACGTTATGTTTATGGGGAATAGAAGGGATGCCCAGAGGGGAAGAATGTCTGAAACATTTGATTTCCAAAGCCTTTATGCATCTCTGGCGTTCCTGTGCTTTCTGGGCAGAAGGCTGGGGTTAGAATAGGCACTTAATTTGTTGCTGCTCATTTTCTTTTTTTAATTCTTGCCCCACTGCCCCAAGCTCCTGTGTGCTGGGGCCTGGCACAGCAACGTCTTAGGCATCTAGTTTGCCCTGAGCTGATCTGTTCTCCAGCAGCCTGGGGCGATCCACTAGTGAAACCTGGACGTGGTGTCTATGGGGGAAGTTTGCACCCAAATGTATGACGGGGTCTGTTCTGCAGGGCTCTGACCTGGTCTCCTCTGGGGCACCGGTGCAGCAGATTCCCCGTTGAAAGCTATTGGAGCATCTCACCTGGGGAAGGAGCTGTTCCTCACCTCTGCCTGTGGTAGATGCCCTTCCAGAACCACGTGCTGTCATGGTCATCATCTCAGCTGATTTGTGCAGCTATCTGGAGGGACAAAGATAACCTTGGACACCAGTAAACCTTCTTCCCTCTTCTACGGGGAGTTATATTGCGAGAAACACCTGATGAGATCTGGCTGGGGAGGTGTGCTGGGAACAGGGAGATGAGGCCAAGTGCTCCCTGTGCTCTTGTCCTGCGTGCCTGTGGTGTGAAAGAGCTGCTCTTGTTGCCTCTGTTCCGCGGGAGCCCTGAACATCCCTGTACCTGCTCCCAGCTCCTCGTCCTGAGCACGGGATGGTTTGGTCCTGGGCTGTGACCCTTTCCCATGTGTAATGGGCGGCAGCACACCAGCACGCAGTAGCGTTAACCCTGCCTAGTCTCCGAACTTTTCCTGCTTCTGAGGGCTTTAAGAAGAGACACAGCTGGAGTTTTATATAAAAGTTGAGTTTGCAAATGGCTCTTGGGGCTCTGTGTGGGCTTTGTTTGCTCTGGCAGCAGGTAACGGACTGCGCTGGCCTTGCTTTGTCCCACTAGCAATAGGTCTCTGAGAGTGCGTTTTGCAATTAGCTTGGAGTAGGTGCGTGTTTTTAAGGTGAGTGGATTTAAGATGTTTTACAAACGTGTGAGACTTTACGCAGCAGGACCAGGTGGGGCCTCAGGCTCTCGCTCCGTGCTCAGATCCGCAGCAAGTAAGCGCTGGGGCTGTCTGTTGCCGGGTGTGGGAAGGCAGGAGCGGCCTCCCCTCAGCGTCAGTCTGTCTGTCTGTCCGTCCATCCGCAGGAGCGCCCATGCCGCTTCGGGCGAGCAGCCGGTCCCCTGCGGGCGCTTGTCCCATGAGCGTGTCGGTCCATGCACTGTGCCTTCAAATGTACATTTTTAAAAGGGACTTGAATTGCCTTTTCCTGGAAGCGGGACGGGGCGGCGTGAGGCGAGGCCTGGCTCTGCGCTCAGCCGGGCCCTCTGTTTTTTTACCTGTATACTGAGATCCAATAATCTGTATAAAACTATTTTGATGTCCACCTGCGTTGTCTCGTTCATCCTAGAAGGGGCAGGGGGGGCTCGGGATAGAAGGAGGACGCTGGGGGAGG